TATCAAGCCAAAGTTCTCAAAGAAACTACTACAAGTAGAAGGTTCTAACAATGAGGAATATGGGCCATCGAACAACAAGAGATTGGGCCTGAATATCAGTCAACAACCCATTAAGTCCCTTGACCAGAATGCAGAGNACAAAGGTCTCGAAGCTTCCTCTCCAACGGTACGATTGAAGAAAGCAAAACCAGAGAACAGCTGTGTGTCAAAACCAGCTCATGGTATTCAAATCCATAACAGATTTGATCCTCTAGGATCATGTGCAACCAGTGATACATAGACACTTGTCAATCCTTCATTAGCTTAAGAATCTATATAACAAAGGATGTAAACAAGTGTATGGTTATGCAGAAAATAATGAAAGGTTGCATCTTTTTCTTCTTTCTCTAAGCCTCGAGCTCAAATCATCTTTTGTTTTTCAAGCTTCAGGCTTGGCATCAACTGAGGATCTAAGGGGTTCTTACTTGCCGAAATTGCCTACACTGGCTCGTCCCGAGCCAAAGACGATTTCTTTGTAAGCGAAAGGAAGAGAAAGAAGCTTCACTTTTGTAAGATTTCTTTCATGGATGTCACCAATTTTTAACGAAGGAATAAAAATAGTGTAAGACTAATGTACTCTGCCTCCATTTTAAAAGACTTATATGAAGCTCTTTTAAATTGGAATAACAATGATTCAGATGGTGGACATAACATTGAATTGGTGCACCATGAAGGAAGGGTTTACGGAGTTTAGAGTTCTTCTGTTCAATAACAATACACTCTCTCTATATGATATAATTTGGTAATGAAATGTGTGTGAGTGTTGAATTCTGCTTTAGGATTGAGTCTTCTCCATCCCGTTTGCTAATTGTGATTATAATTCAATACTAGAATGTTCTTTCCCGAATACGCTGATTTTACTTGGACTCCTTAGGCTACAACTGAAGAATGTAAAATCATTGTTTCACGATGTATTCATGTTAGAGGAATTGTGACAAAAGCTCATAACCATATTATGCCACCTTGTTTCTACTTTACCACAATGAC